CACAACTAGGGATGATGTATATAGAATTTAAAAAAACACGTTGCTGAAGGATAAATATTTTATTGTTGACTTTTAAGTTATTGCAAGCACATGGGTAGAATTACATTTGGTCATTTTTTTTGTAAGGATGGGGGTTAATTTGTACAATTTGTGATCAAGTTCTCATCGAAAATTATTAGGTTTTTTTATGACAGACAGACAGACAGACAGACATTCTTTATTTCCTCTGCAGCAGAGATCAATGCATCAAAATATTAAGTTTGTAACAATATTTGAACTTTTAAACAAAAATGTGGAAATATGTACACAATTTCTCAATTACGCAAGTTACTGTCCATAATTTAAACACTATGTACATTATTTATCAATTTTTTGAAGTTTTATACTTCATGTAAGTGAGTGTTCATTTCTGTCATCATACGAGCAACGCCAGTTGCAACAGCAAGCACAAACATTTCCCACTTCTCCTCAGATACGATCGAACCACGTCTTGATCCAAGAATGGTATCAGCGATTACGTCGTCACTATTATTTGTGAGATTAACGTAAGATTGGACATTTATCGCGTTTACTATTTCGTCCATCAAGCTGTCTCTGCTAGCAAATAGCGTTGGACATTCAAGGAGAAAATGCAATGCAATATCACTTGTTGTACGCGTACACAATTTGCAGTTCACCTCCTCTTTAACAATGTCGACCGAGAGTCTGATTACTGAGGCTAATTTCCATGTGTGTTTCGGAAGCTTCAAACCGAGTAGCCAAAGGGGATGAGTTGATAAATTTTCATGTATTTCTGCGTATCTGCGAAGCTCTTTTCTTTGGTTTAAGTTCTCCCTCCACTCACGTTCAGCAGCAGTATCAACTACAGTTCCTACGAATTGCTTCCAGGTGTATTTTGGTGGGACGTCACGATTCAAAAGGTACTCCCTGAAAAAGAAATCAATGTTGTATTCCCTCATTATGGAGTGAATATCTGCTATGAATCCACGTTTCGGTCTTGGTGTCGTCGAACCAAAAGAGCACAACCTTGCAATGAAAAGCTTTTTGTGAATAGAGAATAACTTAATGTACAGAGTCTGTTCCAGAACATCAACTTGATTTTATCTATACTCCTTTTCATTTCAACCAGGCCAAGGGAAAAGATGGTACCAGGGATGGGGTCAATTACATAGGAAAGTAATTAATTAAATTACAATTACTTTCCCAAAACCTTCAATTAAATTACCATTACCATTACATGGATTTTGAAATGTAATTAATTAAATTACAATTACTTTGCAAATGTAATTAATTAAATTACAAATTACATTCAAGAATACACGTATAAAAGTAAATAGTCATGTATATTCCTTTACATTTATAACAGATTATACTTATTTTGCAACATTTTTTACAACAATATTATTTAAAGTTTATACATTTTTCAAATACCGTGTCCCTAACCCAATATATCTTCGATTAATTTGAAGATTTTCCTGCCATTTTGAAGATTCTTTCCACTGGGGTATTTGTGAAAAAAATGCATACATGTAGATACTGACTAGTAGAAAGTTTACAGATGGTTTTACCTTAATTCATGCATTTAAATTTTGGAATCATGTTTAAGCTTTCCCATAAACAAGTGATAAATACTTTTGATGCTTTAATTTGCCTTTATATTTCCTTATTTCTGCATCATAGGTTTAAATCAAAATGTGGGTATTTGACTTATTCTGTGCCAAACTACAATTTAAAGTCAAAGAGTATGTATAAAAACACCAACAGACAAAGTCAAAGGAGTGAAAAAATGTTTATTTAGGAATAAGTATATGACCCCAAGACACTAATTAGCACCTGTTAATAACTTCCAACAAGCTGAAGATATGGCCAACAAAAGGATTTGAAGCCATTGGAGTTCTTATTTTCATATGGATTAATTAAAAAATCAAAATATAAATTTATTATTTGTAAACTTTACAAAGATTAATTTGATGTAAAAGTTTTTTTAATGAATAGGGGCATTGTATTTAAACAACAATTGACATAAAAAGGGAAGTTCTTTTCAAGAAATTTTACTATTAGAAGTTTTGGTCCAAAATATAATTTATTGATTCTAAATATAATGTGTAAATAATGTGTATGAAATTGAGAGAGAGGAGACTATTTTTCATTTATTTAAAATCAATGTACAATGTAATTGAATGTAATTGCAAAGTAATTGTGAATTACATGCCTCTTTAGAAAGTAATAAATTAAATTACTATTACTTGTAATTGAAAATTTGGCCAATTACACATTATTTACTTTCTATTACATCGAAATTTGTAATTAATTACAGTCAATTACCATTACACATTATCATTACCCCATCCCTGGATGGTACACAGTGTTGGTGATCTCTGGTCAAATCCTTGCATTCGACGGGCCGCGTATCTCTGTACAATTTCTAGCTCTTCGATCGACTTTTTAGAGATCACATCCCATAATTCGCATCCATACAAGATCGGTGGCATGACAACTGTTTTCCACAATTTAACGCTGGTCATGGGATGTATACCCTGATCATGAACTCCTATGTTGATAAGCGAGTTTAATATGCGCTTGCCCTTCCTGCATGCTTGTGTGATTGCTGTATCGTTTTGCAACCTATCAGTAAGGACGACCCCAGCATAAATATTTTCTGAATGTAAGTTGATGTTTTCCTGACCAAGAATAAATGGTCTAGCCGCAGGGTGCTTTCGTCGCTTTCTACTAGAGCTAAAGAATAGAATACAACTTTTGTTAGGATTATAACGCAAGTGCCAACGTCTAGCGTAATTGTAGACAATATCCAGTGGCTTCTGGAGACCACTGGGAGTGTTGGATATAAGGTTATATACGTTATAACAAATCTTGCCGGTATACTTCCACATCCTGGACGGAAACCCTGCTGAAGAGGGTGTGGAAAATGAATTTCAGCGTTGATACGCTTTATTCTTGTGTACAATATATTTTCAAATAACTTTTGTAGGACTGAGGTTAAGGTTATATCTCTATAACTATTAGGGTCGAGCCTGTCTTTTTTTCCTCCTTTGAACAAAGTTATACTAACTCCTCTTTTGAATTGTATCGGATATTTTTCGTTGTTTAGAATTGCGTTAAACAGCTCTAACAGGATTTCTAGAATAATGTCTTGCACAAAGCGCAAATGTTCAATGACGAGTTTGTCAAGGCCAGGTGCTTTTCCGTTTTTCATTCTCTCCATTGCTTCTGTAACCTCTTCTTTCCTTATCATAACATCACCAACTTTATCAAAGTTTCTATAGGATTCTTCCTTCATGTTTATTACAGAGAGTTCTACATGTTCTTCGAACCTTTGATCAAACAACGGGTATTTTGTCTTTGCAGCAAGTGTTTTGTAGTGTTCGTACCATGCTGTTCGAATGATATCTGGATCGCGTATGATCACTCCGTTGATCCGAAGTTCATGGGGTGTCCATGATTTCTTATTCCGATTTTTAATAGTACGATAAAATAGACCCATATCTATTTCTGCTGTTTTCTGTAGTTGATCCAGTTGTTATAATTCGTACTGCTTTTGAGCAACAGAAAGTGCATTTGTAAACTCCATTTTTGCGGCTTTATATTCTCTGTAGGATTGGAATTCCATGCCACGTGGCCTATTATGTTCAATCCACACTGCTCGCTTTTGTCGATTTAAAGCGTGAAGTTTCTTTACATCTCCGTATTTCCAATATGGCTTCAAATATGAGCGGTATCTCTTTCTAGGAAGTGATCGTTTGGCTGCGTTCAAAAAGACATTCGTTAGGTCCCCTATATACTCATCAAGTTCACCTTCAGTTTTTCCCACCAAATTTCTTTCTAGGTTCTGTAGCCCTTCCTGGATACACTGTCTATATAACAGCACATGGTCGTTTGTAACTCGTTTCCAGTTTACATACACGTCATCATCACTATTTCTCTTACGCCCATTAAATGTTGGAAATTTACATGGTAGACGTATATTCAGAAATATCGGAAGATGATCTGAACAGTTAAGATGATGATCATCTATTATTCCACACGAGTCAATAAAATCTTCCTTGTTCATTTGGATAATAGCGTGATCTATCATGGATGTCTGAGTTCCATTGTGTGTCATAAATGTGTAATCAGGACCATGCGACTTATGCTGACTCGTTACTGATATTAAATCTCGTTCGACCATGAAAGATTCAATAATGATACCTCTATCATTTGCATGGTAATGATTTTTCACTCCATGTTCTTTCGACAGATGTGCATTGAAATCACCGAGTATAAATACTGGCCCATATTCACTGTATGCGTCAAAAAGTTTCTCTACACTTTCTATTGATTGTTTGTACTCATCTATCGAAATGTTGGTCGAGGGTAGTAACACTCCAATGACATATATCTCAATGTTTTCAAGCTTCACAACCGCTATTATCACCCTGTCCGTACAATCGTGTTCAATGGGAAAGACCTGAAGTTGCTTGCGCCACATCAAGGCAATTCCACCAAAGCCTGTAAATCTTGTACGATTCTCCAGTTCGATGGGAATACGTTTGTCGTGGATACCATACACATTAAACTCATTGTGAATCGTGTCCAGAAAGGTTATTTGTTCAGGTAAAAGCCAATGGTCTGTAACGATAATGCTATACATTATACCACGAGTGTTTCATGCTTTTATACGTATCATTGTAATAAGTATTTTAAACAAATACACGAAGCACACTTTTGATATATGTCTCATGCAACTATTCATCACTATGTCTATAGTTACGTTCGCGTTCAGTTTAATCGCCATCTACACTCCCGTCCTTACCTGTTTGTACAATCGCTCCATAGTAAACATGCCTGATTAGAGACAGTAAATAAAGTCTTACGGGGAACAGGTTTGCTTTTTATTTTGATCAAAGAAGAAAAGGTGGAATCGTGTAAGGTGTAAGGTGGAATATGTAACAAACCTATCAATGTAGTGAATATACATTGAACGTCGATATTATACCTAAATTAGGCATCGAAGATCCTAATAGAAAACATTCTTTTGAGTAGAAATTTCATTCTCTGTTAATGTGGGTTTAAGGGTGATATTTTACCTTTCCTGTACGTTTTGTGTGTCAGGATTTATACAACTATTTCATGTGGTCAGGAGTAAGATACACGTGTGACAATATTGTATTAAACTCATGAATTTAAACAATAACTATGTGTTGTATTTCATTATTTCCACAGATTGGTGATGTCTTAGGTTTTCATTTTTGATTCTTTGATTTATGAAATAGTTGACAAAAATAATGTAAGTAATAATGTGGCATTTCAGGTTTTAAATTCAAAATCTTAAATCATCCAATACCTCCTACAGTAAAAATAATAAAATGCTCTATGAAAGAGATAATATTTGTTATCTGTTAAAAAAATCATTTCCCTTTCAGAGTGGAAATAAAAAAGTTTATTTTCATAAACTTGTGATCAGAATTCAAGTTGCAAAATTTAAGTAAAATTGATTCATGAATTTCAATTTATCAGATTCTACTTATTTTGACAAAAAACCGTTGATGTTTGGGTAATTAACTTTAACAACAAATCTAATTAGATGCATATATGATTATTGTATCTCACTGCGTATTTTACATTAATTATTATGCTTTGTCCTTGATATTCCACGGTTTTACAACATAATAGACTCTCATCATGACAAAGTAATCATAGTGATGTAAGATGTCTTGACATGTTTCCTTTTTATTCTCATAATTAGTAACGTTAAGTGGAGACAGAAAACACTTATAAAAATAAAGTGTGTGTTAAGGGGTGCTTGTGATCTGTTCTAACTACTCACGTAAAAGAGGAAAACCCTCGTGATTGTCATGCCTTCATAATAATGTTTTAAGTCTGTTTTTTTAACAACTCACAAACAATTGAAACTTTATGATTTTTTCTCAGTGTTTCATTTTCAATTCTTTTAAGTTATATAAGAACTGACAAAAATTAATAAAATAATATGAAATTTTGCTTTTAATTTTAGAAGAAAGCAAATAAATCATGCAAGATATAAGTACAGGAAAAATCGTGTTCTGTGCGATAAAAACAAAAAAATGGCATTTGTATATTGAAAAGTGATTTGATCTGAAATTATATCGGTATTTATTTAAGCTTCTGCTATGATGCAATAACATGTATTTTTCTGGAAGAATAGGAAAGAAAATTCAAAACATTTGCACAAAAAACATTTATGCATTTTAACGTTTAATAGGTATGAAGTAATTAACGTTAAGTTAACACTTAGCGTTAATTTAACATTAAAATAACATTAATTCAACGTTAAATTTGTTCAAGTTAAATTCATGTTTAAGCTCGATTGACGTTAATTTAACGTTAGATATGTAACGTTAAAACAATGTCATTTTCATGTTAAATTAACGTTAGGCACAATTGTTTGTGTAAGAAATTATATTTGTAAGACTCCAAAGCCCAATGGTCAGGTAAAAGTTCAACAATCTTGCCAATACTCGATTGTTTGAAATGTTCTTAGAAATTAAGTTTCATATTATAGCTTAAATGAAATAATTTTTGGAAATTTTAAAGAGGATTTAGGGAATGTTCATGTTATGGTAATGAAGAAAAAAAAGGAACAAAAATATATTTTTTTCCAAAGATAGAATTAACATATGTCCCAAGAAGTACCGTAGTCATGTTCTTTTACCACTTACGTTTGTCGGATAAACTAATTTAACAAGTTTTAAAGGATTAAAATTATGTATATCATTCAAAAAATGAAAGAGAAATCGGACATTGTACTTCAAAATGTTCGATTTCTAATGAAGCAAACATCAGCACAATATATCTTAGGGGGCTGTAATAAGAGACAGGTATATTATCTTACTGTCAAAAGGACAAAAACGAGCGGTAATATTAAAAAACTTTATGCATCAGCTTTTGAAATTAATTCTGATGTAGTGCTTTTAAGATGAGAAGTAATGAAAAACCTTTGTTTTTACCTATCAATAATCCTTTGTTTTCAGAGAACTGATTTAGTCGGTGTGGTTATGCAGCTGCTACTGGAAACTATGCATTCATGTTTTTTATTGAACCCCATTCAATCAATCAAACTTGCAAGAGATTTATTAGGACCCGACAATCCAAACCACACTTATAGTATATATGATTTGCATAAAGCAGATTAATTTGATTTGAATTATACAAGTAGTTGTAGACTGTTTCGGCTATTAAGAAGCCTCATCAGGGGACAAAGACATAAATCATGGTGTTCAATGTTCATTTTACGTGAAATCTGATTATCTCGTCATCTATGTTCTTGTGTTTGCTGTAAGTGATGATTGGTAAAGAATTGAATAAACTTTAACATTCGGGATCTCTTAGAATGTTGTTCCAATATTTTAGAATTCGTTTTTGGAGTCCTTTAATGCAAGGTTTAAATTTAGTAACCAGTACTGTAGAGTTACGCAGCGGTGAAATGGACGGACTTATCTTCCTTTTAATATACCTCCGCTTGAAAAGCGGGGGGGGGGGGGTATATGGTAATCGGAATGTTCTTCCGCCTGTCTATCTTTCTATACATCCGCCTGTCTGTCTGTCCACCCGTTCATCTTTAACGCTTTGAGGTACCACAACTCCTCTCATACGACTAAATGAAACTTGATGAAACGTACAGAAATCTTTATAAATATTGTCATTGTGCACCTCCTATTTTGTTTTTTGATCGGACAATTATTTAGGGTTTCCCATAGCCAAACATGGATACTTCCATTATATTCATATTCTTGTGTTATTTTTTTCAGAGTTAAATCTCTTGCTTGTCCGAGTTGTTTACGTGTATGGGCAAATGGTGCATTTCGCTATTAAAAATATATAGATCATATTGGAGACGGGGGTATCCTGAGGTGAGCTTAGTGTTTGCATTACCTCTAGTTTATAATAAAATTCAAAAACTTTCTTCAAGTTCCTTATGTGAGTCTTTGTGTATGTGCGTGAATGTGTTTTCTTAAGATCCACACTTAATTTACACTATCAAATATGTTCCTTCAGTGCTATATGTATTTTTGCTAGGAAAAAAGGGTGAGTTTATTCAAGATCCCATTTTGTTTTAAGCATTCATGATTTTTGTAAAGTTCTGTAATCTAGTATAAGCATGATTATTCGAAATTCACTTTGAGGATAAGAATAAATATGAAAAAATAAAAATGAAGTATTTTGAATAATTTTGCCTTCATTTTAAAGTATAAATTTTGATGAACTTTTATAGAATACGTCTATTTTCCTCAAAACTGTAATTGAGGACATTTTTCTTCAATTTTTATCCACTACTTTTTTCATGCTTTAAACTTGTAAAGGTAAACAGAAATATTTTGAAATACATTCAATTTAGCCTAATGTAACCATTAAAACTCTTCTGCAATATCTGTTGGCGAATATTTTAAATTTTGTTTCGGAAAGAAACATTTTTTTAATCGACAAAATACAATACTGTCCTACAGGTTTATATGACAATGCCCTCCTAAGAAAAACAGCAAATAAAATCTTCTTTTAAGGGGATAGTGAAAATGAAAAAAATACCTTTACAATAACCATGTCTCTAATTGTAGACCTTATATACAATAAATCTAGGACTCACAATCCTTTTATAAAAAGACACAAGATATAAAGTAAATGAAATGCACTTTACAGCTTTAAGCGTGATTTCAAACAAACATGAAAAAAAAAACAAAGTAGTTTCAATTGCTCTTGACCAGATCTGTTAAGTACACTTTCCGGTTGAAGAAGAAAGAAAAAACGCCTTTAAATATGTGTCATTACTTATTGCTAGGTAATAACTACTTTTAAATTTATTGTGATGTCTCGTGGTTAATTTTGGGAAATTCCCAACCGTCTCTATATATACTGCCGTCTGTTGTCTTCTAGGGACGCAGTGATATCTAAACCTAGCACTAGTATACATGTATCATCTGTACGCCAAATCATGAAGTTTTCCATTTTCTTTACGATTGTGATCACAATTTCCGAAGTCATATCAGATTCCTTGTTAACTGGTACTTATGATCCGAACTCCACTGCTCTGATAAATGACAGACGTGACGTAAAGGAAATTGACGTCCTCCGTCAGCTCGTCAACCAGGAGACCCTCATCCGGGTATCCATGGTCAATGACGTCAAATCAGTTGTCGATGACGTCACATCTGTAAAGAGAAACTTGACGTCTACAGAGACGATGGTCGTCACTCTTCTCCAGACGATTGAGTCATTAAAAAGTGAGGTGGCTACCCTTAGGCAAGATGACACTTTATCGCAGAAGATCGAAAAATTAAAAAGACAGATCGATACTTTAAATAAAAACAACACTCTACAGCAGACCGTGGAAGCTCTGGAAAGGAAGATCATGGCAATTAGTCAAAACAACACATTACAGCAGACCGTAGAAGTTCTTAAAAGGGAGGCTGATTTTCTTAGACGTGACAGAACTTTACAGAACTCGGTAGAATTCTTGAAAAAAGAGATTTACAACCAAAAGCGGGAGGGTAAAAAAAGTTTAGAAAATTGTCAAAATAGATTACAGGAATTTGACCAAAAATTCAGAATTCTAAATGAAAATATAACGGATATCTATCAGTATCTTGGAACGTTGGAAAAAGGTAATTGATCTTTCTCTCTCAGATTCTTTCTTCCTCTCTCTCTCTCTCTCTCTCTTACCCGACATAACCGACTTGTGAGGAATTGGGCGCATGGAATACATTGTGGGGAAAGTGCTTCCGTATGACAATTTTAATAAAATAATAGGCAATTTTTATGGAAAATAACTATATTACTATAGACTCTCCTTTATAATCCTAAAAATTACGTATCTGTCGTCTCAGTATGTAATCAAAAATTATGGGGAATGTTTTTATCACTCATTCTTATGGGGAACGTCATCAGAACTCCTCTGGCTTTACTGTTGGATTCAACAATTGTATCATTCTTGATGTTTTTGAACATTTTTCTCCTAATCCTCTACTTATTCGTGGATACAGTTTTACATAGACATGTGGTATTTTGATGTATAGTTTGTTTAAAATCGCTGAATAAATTTTTAACACTGAATAAATGACGTCACAATATATACGAAACTCGTTACATTGAACATCGAGCCCGATTCCAATGTTGTCCACAAACATGCAACGGTTTCTATATCGAATCTAGGAACGGACTGGAAATTGATTTTGTTCATTTATATTTATGTAATAAAAGTAAAATAAAAGGGGAATGTATCAAGGATGACAGATAAGCGCTGTTGAGTTTTTTCTGCATTATTTCCAACTATAACGAGACCTTTATCATGTTTATTTTCTAGGATACAATGACATTTTTCAGCGGGATAGGAAGTGTGCAATAAGTTTCGTTTATTATTTAATTAAAATAATTTAAAGGTAACAAGTCATCATAGATAGTGAATTTAAACCCATCTACTCCTTCCTTCCCATTTTTTCCCGATCCAACATTTCCACAATTTAAATAAAATAGTTCTTGTCTTTAGTTGAATCGTTTCTCTCTTTTAAAAAATGGTACTCTAGTTCATTTCTCCTTTAAAAAACATATTTGTAAGATAATAAACGAAGTCCTCAATTGATCGATGAATTAGAGAGATCAATAATTAAATCGTTTAATTCAATATTATTTGTTAGCAGCATTTGTTGAGTTCAGTATATCAATTCATTTTCCAGCTTAAAAATTGTTTCATAAATTTTCAAAGTCAGAAGTTATATTTTTTCATTCAGTAAATCAATCTGACATTGTCCCCACGTTACGCAGTTGGGCGTGTTCGTTTGTGGGTGAATGGGCGTCGGAAGCAAATTGAAAGTGGGATGGCTAATCGAAAGTGGGGGATGGGGTTAAACCAACGAATAAAAGTAAACTAAAAAAATAATAAACCCCATGCAATTTTCAATGCTTATTTTATGTCAACCTTTGAAAAAAGTGGGGGGGGGGGGCTGAGCCCCCCTAGCCCCCACCCCGGTTCTGACGCATATGTGTGAGTGACGTAATTTGCATCTAGGGATCATTATGGAATACAGTTCTCTTTGCGAGGGGATACTCTTCCTTGTGGTGGCCTTGTCTTTTGGTTTAAAGCGCAAGGACAACGACATCATTTATTTCGTTCTGTGTATATAAGTGTGTTTTTTTTTAATTTTATAATACTTACCATGTGCATTGTACACAACAAGACCTTCCAAAATACAAAATAAGGCTTTACCTCAACCTGATTCTTAGAGTTTCAACCAGAGACACCTAAGTGCATGTATGGAGCCCCATTATTAATGGGAAAACAGTAAGATTACTTTTAATTTTCAAAAACATAGGATTTTCCCGTCAATTATGTCAAAATATTATTCTATAAAAAAAAATTAAATTTTTCTTACGTACCGAGACGGACCAAATACAGTAAACCGTATATAGAGAAATACACAGCTCGCAAGATAAGAAACACAATTTACAAACAAAAAAAGAGACAAATTAGTATTATTTTGAATAATACATTTGCAAGCACTATGTCAGAAAGATGTTTCCCTACTAGTATCTCTAACCTTCACTGCATCCTTTTCATTGAAGATAGGAACCAAATACTAGTAACAGGCCGGGGGGGGGGGCATTCCCTGCCCTCACGTGGAATCTTTCAATGTTAGTTTGATAGTTGATAGGATGAAGGCCTTACTGTAGTGATCAGTACTATATTTGATTTGCATATGCATTGTGTGACACTTTTGTCCAGTGGAGTGATGGTATATACCTTATGCCTACATGTATCTTTATTTTGTGGCGAGGTCAAATACGAAAAGGATCTCATGACCTTTAATGACCTTTAAAGATCAACAACCAGTCTCTTAATAGTGGCCCTAAAGTCATTTTTTGTGAAGCCAGTTACAATATGATGAGCGGCGTCGATATTGTAATGTTAAATTTTATTGACACTTATGGTACTTATTCACTAAATAAATTAAATTAACGCCTCTGTATTTAAATAGAAAAGAAAAATGCATGAACAGTTTAGCTTCGTTATCTCGAAGCTGATGGGACCAGGGATCGGCTTCGAGCCGTCCGGGGGTTCGACATATTCAGGGTTATAATTCAAATGGACTTCAAATAAACAGGAAGAAATTTAACATGTCAAAATCCTCCTTGTTTGAAATTTCATTATGTATTCGACCTCTTTATATTCCATTTATCAATAGATTATTTTTAACAACGTATACTCTTTATAATTCTCAACATTCTAGTATAAACTTTGTTATTATAAATAAAAGTATTATCCTTCTATTGACCGATTAAATCACGTGTATATACAATGTATTTAACTGGATATCATCTATGCATTTAAGGATCTCTGTCTTAGTTAGTATAGTATGCCAGGGCATTAACGACTGTGGGGAACGTGGGCACATAATCTGCATGACGTACGAAGTATGTTTCCCACTATTGTTGATGTCCTAGGCATGCTATATTAACTAGACAGTGATTCCTTATAACTTCATTGCATTGTGAAATAAAACTGTAGATTTAGATTTTTAAAAAGTGGACATAGATTTAAATTACACAAGGACCCCCATGCCAATTTCAATAGTCCTTTGCCACTGAATTAGAAATGTGAATATTTAAATTTAAACCCGTCCAGGATAATGAAAATGTAATTTTATCAGATTGATACATGTAAAATTGGTTTAAACAAAATTATTTTAGCATAATAAAATCAAACGCAAGAAATCCGATCACCTTTGTCTAGCTTATAGATAACGACAATAGGTTGTGAATCGGGTCCTTCGTTGGATAGCTTTCCAGGTACCACGATGGTGTGGTTTGTAGTATCTGACTGGCTTTACTATTATAATCAACATTCATTTGTTCTCTCAAAAACCAAATGTATGGTACAAGAGGTACATATACTAATCTCAGCGAGATGGGTAGATTACATATACTAGTATACATATTTACAATAATTATGAGCGAAAAGAAATTACAGGAGGACAGACAATGTCAAAAAATTGGAGATATATACACTTAACAAAACTTCTAAGTGTTCACTTTTATAAATGTATTTATGTATAATATTTTCAAATTATTACAACAAATGAGTCCTCTCAACAATTATAGAAAGAAAAATAAATATAACCGATGAAAACCAATGATCCATGACGAATCTTAAAAACAATAAATCCTTACTTTGTGGCACGTGTTTCGTATAATTAGTAATTTTTTGTGAACATTATTACAATTTAAAAACTGTTTTCACTAAAAAAACACAAAACATTGGCAAAATGCACTACTGTAACTAAAAAGCACTGAGAATCCAACAAAACCCTGAGGAAGTACTGAGTGGTACTGAGCCCGGTACTGAGAAACTGAGAAGATCCTGAGTAGCACTGAGGTTTTCACTGTGCATTCTGTTGTGCTACTGAGGAGTACTGAGGTTAGCACTGTTGCTACTGTGGAAGTACTGAGGGGTACTGATGTCATTCTGAGGCCACTGAGCTGGTACTGAGTAGCTCTGAGGTTTAACACTGTGGCTACTGAGGTAATCCTGAGTGACACTGACGCTTTTTTTCAAAAACTTGCTATTTTTTATGAGTTTTATTGTAATCTAATGTTCAAATTTCTTTATTTTTAAACCCTTTTCAAAATAAAATGTGTAGGTTCAAGTATTTTGAAACTCCCCGTCGACAATTAAACTGAAATTCGCCTCTTGTTCATTTAATTAATTAAATTATTTGCGTACTTTGTTTGGAATTTTCAAAAGGTTTGAGTGTTCTATGCTTATTTAATTAAGAAAGTTGATATCTGATTTATTTGTCTTTAATATCAACCAATTAATTATAAAAAATAAAGTATTTTTGAAATTTAGTTTTTCAAAATTTATGCAACCAATGTTAAACATCATGATGAATAGTAGTTTCCGTCTAATAAATCTCGATCCACACCTGAAAATTTGATAGGTTACGTATTTGTTGTGCAAATAAAGATGTCTTTAATGTTAAATCAACATATAATTTGAAAATTGAACATGGGGATAACTAAAAATTTTAATATTTCTATGTGCTTGCATAATAAAATGAACACCGACCGCGGAAAATAATACCGGTTTATTTTGCTTTAAGTCCGAGTTTTATTTCAAAGAAGTTTCATTTACTATTTATTTAGCATACGCGCACATGATTACAGAAAATCATGTGTTAAGATTGAATACTCATAAATTTAAACAAGGAAGTAGTTAGAATAATTAGGGGATCTCTATGTTAAACCAGGGACCTATATACTAATATAGGTGCCTGGTTAAACACGTGGCGCTAAAATTTGATAACAGTCATGTATGTAGTTACTGCGAATTATAATATGATATCTAATAATGCAATTGTCATTTTTTTTGGGGGGGGGGGGGGACGGTTGTCTGTCAATCAGACTGATAGCAAGTTCAGTTAAATCATAATTATGTTCATCGCTTAATTCACATGTAGCAGGAATTTATCGTTGTCATAGCTGCACATGTTTTCTTAAAGACATCAAATGCATTAAATGAAAATAAACTTGAACTCCGTTTAAAGAAAATCTATCTTTTATTTATTTTTACTGGTTCTAATTACGCTGCAGTATTTATTCGCTGTGATAAAGTCCTAC